AAATCAGGGTGCTGGCAGATTTGGTGTCTGATGAGGGCTTGTACTCTGCTTCAGAGATAGCGTCTTCTTGCTGCATCCACACATAGCAGAAGGATTTGGGGAGCTTTCCCAAGCCTCTTTTTTGAGGGTACTAATCCCATTCACAAGGGCTCTGCCTTCATGACCTAGTCACCTTCCAAAGGCCTCACCTCTTAATATCATCACCTTGGGGGCTAGGATTTCAACATATGAATTTTGGAGAGACACATATATATAGCACAAACCTTTTCAGTGAAGTTCTTCATCTTTTTTTTTTTTTAATTTTTTTAAAATAGAGACGAGGTCTCACTGTGTTGCCCAGGCTGGTCTTGAACTCCTGGCCTCAAATGATCCTCCCACCTTGGCCTCCCAAAGTGCTTAGATTACAGGCGTGAGTCACTGTGCTTAGCTGCTCTTCATTTTACTTATTCCAACCACAAGTAGCGATGGAAAGCCAGCTGGCTTACAAAGAAGTGGGGAAGGCAGATAATTAAGCACATATGCATATCATCATGACTATACCTGTGTAATAAATGTCATGAAAGAAAAAAATTAGAGTGCTAAAATTTTAAAATTATAACATGAGGAGATCATATTATAAGACAGTAGCCAGAGAAAACATTGCTGAAGAGGTCCCTAAAGATAATGGGAGCCAACCCTGAGCTGAATGAGGGGGACTTGATTTCTGTAGAGGAGGAGCAGGAATGCAGGGACTAAGGCAGGAATGAAATCTCCATGTTTCAAGGACTGAAAGAAGGACAACGTCAAAGCTGGAGATGTCACCCTAAAATTCATATGTTGAAATCATGACCCCTGAGGTGATGGTATTAAGAAGTGAGACTTTTGGGAGGTGATTAAGTCGTGAGGGTAGAGGCCTCATAAATAGGATTAGTTCCTAATATAAAAGATATCCCAGAGTGCTCCCTTGAACCTTCCATGTGAAGAAAGCAAGATGACTACCAGACACCAAATCTACCACTGCCTTGATCTTGAACTTCCCAGGCTCCAGAACTTGGAGAAATGAAGTTCTTACTTATGAACCACCTATGATAGTCTGTCATAGCAGCCAAAGACTAAGACTAAGACATTGCTAAAGCATAAAACAAATCAAATTTAGGACTATTCATATAAACAAGAACTAAAATCAAGTACATCATTAATGTAGAATCTTCTAAAGGGCTTTTGTTGCTCATCAACTACAGATGACTGACACCTTCTTAATGACAGTGTGACTTTGCTCACTTAAATCATGGTTGATACAATCACTGTCTCTAGTATTTCATTTTCCTTATACAAGAAAAACCTGAAAATGAAGCCTCTGTTAGTCAGAACACTTAATCATCTTCCTATTTTTTAGGGAAAATTTTAGCAGCTACCAGGAAATTGTTTCAGTCTGTTTTTTTGTTTGTTTGTTTTTTGCTTTTTGCTTAAATGGAGGAATAGAAGGGGAGGGAAAAAGAAAAGTAGGAGATTATCTTTAGCAAAATAAGCCCTTGGCAAAAAGCTGGGACAGTGACCAAGACCTCCATGCCTCAGTAGGTTAGATGGTCTGGGTTAATAAAGGAGGAGGTGAGTAGGAGGAAAGAAAACCTTCTGGAAGCTGAACTTGCAAACCAAAGGGCATAAATTGATAGCAGCATTATGGTCATTAAAGAGCGATTGAAGGAATAGGCCCAGTTTTCTTGGGCTGGTGTTTACATGGGTGTGAGAGTTGATACTTTCCATTTCCTGAAGGAAGCGGGAAATCATTAAGGGTCATTCCAGTTCTTTCCTGCTGTTCCCAGGAAATCTTCATTAATTGGCTTTGAAAGGTGTGAATTCTCAAATTATCAGCCACAGTCTGAGTATCTCAGAGGGGAAGATGTGTGGTCTCTGTGCCAGAAATCTTTGAAACAGAATCAGTGCTATTCTAGGATTTTCTAGAAATTTAAAATTAACACAATTTGAATCCAATATAGTTTTTCCCCCAACAATGGCAGTTGGATAAATTAAAGGGCATATGTTTAATAAGACACTACAGAGCAACAAAAAAGGAAGATGTGACTCCTGCCCACAAGAAATTTGCATTCTAATAAGATTATATGATGCTATTGTGCCAGTTCATATGCATTTTCCATCTTAGATTTCTGAAACAGGAAGTTTTTGTTCTTTACAGTAAGTTCTTGTTCTTCACAGTAAGTTCTTGTTCTTCACAAGTTCTTTTATACTAAGGGGAAAAAACCCAAAATGTTGGGTTCAGATCTCTCCAGAGATGAGAGCACTGCATTATGTATAAAAATAGAAAGAAAAAAAAAAACCCCACTGAGTTTACATACATCCTTTAGCTCTAGACCAGGATTTCTCAACTTAGGCGCTATTAGCATTTTGGACACGAGCATTCGTTCTTATGGGATTCCTGTCCATCGTGGATGGTGCAGGATGTTTGGCAGGATCCCTGGCCTCTATCCACTAGATGTCAGTAGCACCCTTTCCCAAGTTTGCATTCCAAAAATGTCTCCAGACATTGCCAAATGTTTTTCAGGGGGCTGAATGGCTTGGTCTGTTGAGAATCACTGATCTAGACATTCTCAGGAGAGATCTTTGTCTATATTGCTGGAGCACTTTTGCAAATAAAACAAAACAAAAAACGTCAAGGTTAAGATCTTGACTCCCAGCTTTGAGCAACTACTGAAGGAAGAGGACTGTCTCCTCTGTCAGAAAAAATCCAAGGCAGGTTTCTGTTTTTTATAGAAATAGGAGGATGATGCTGCCATACAAGGAGATTTGACTGGGTAACAAAATAGCCCCCTTAGTCATATCCTTAGACTCATTCTTAGCAGTGGAGCAAGATGCAGAGGGTTGTTGGAAATGCTTTCTCCAGATTCTTGTTTCTCCTAGTTTTTCTGTTGGTGTTGTTTCTACCCATCTGTGCTACTTCTAAATGACAGATAACTGAACCACCTCAAATTGATATACGTGGGTTCAGATCACCCATGGATGTCTCAACAGGCCTATCTATGTTATGAGTAAGTCTGCTGATATTTATCAGGGACTTGATTCAGAGACCTGGTGCTTGACTGTAGAAGAAAATCAGCATCAGCGATGTCATCAGTGCCTATGTGGGATGAATTGTATGTGTACACCTTAATAGATAATGTACACATGCATGTGACATACCACAAACTCCAGGGACCTTAGCAATTGCTGATATTCTACCCAGGTTCTGTGGGATGACTGCCTAGTCCTTAGAGTCTGCTTATATAAGAAGTAAACTCAGCATGCATACTTAGGTGGGGTGAGCATTATCTGGGATGCAGGCTACACAAGCTTTATTTCTACTAGCTAACCAATCAAAAACTGACAGTGCTTTCCAAAAGTTCTTCCCCCATTCCTTTGTTGCAAAAAAGTCTGTTAGTGATATTCGAATTAATTTGTCATTGTATTTAAAGCTGTTTTGGGGCCGGGCTTGGTGGCTCAGCCTGTAATCCCAGCACTTTGGGAGGCCGAGGAGAGAGGATTGCCTGAGTCCAGGGATTCAAGACCAGCCTGGGCAACTTGGCGAGACCTTGTTTCTACAATAAACCAAAAATTTAGCCAGGTGTGGTGGCACGCGCCTGTGGTTTTGGCTATTTGGAAGACTGAGGCAGAAGGATCGCTGGAGCCTAGCGGGTTGACACTGGGATGGCCGTGAATGTGCCACTGTACTCCAGCCTGGGCGACAGAGTAAGATTCCAACTCATAAAAAGAAGAAAAAAAAAGCTGGTTTGAGGGTTGGGACTTAGAAAATTATCAGTGAAGAAAATGAACTCATTTGTGAATAGCTTGTTTCCACATGGCACTAATTTCCATGCATTACACTATTATCACAGGACGGATTGCACTTGTTTAGGTGAACTTAGTAGGCAGAACGAGAAGTATTGGTTTTTCAAGACGGCAAAATGTTGTCCTCTGCCAGGTGCTTTCTGACCTGCCTTTATCCTCTGATTTAGACTATTGATTAAGGCCCTAAGTGGCTATATTAGTCAGGGTTCGCCAGAGAGACAGAACCAATAGCATATATAGACAGACAGATAGATGAGAGAGGATTTATTAGGGGAATAAGTTCACACAGAGGCTGAGAAGTCCTACAACAGGCCATCTGCCAGCTGGATACCCTGAGGTACTGGTAGTGTGGCTCAGCCCAAGTCTGAAGGCCTCAGAACTAGGAAAGCTGATGGTGTAACTCTTACTCTGAGGACAAAGGCCTGAGAACTCAGTGAACATTGGTGTAAGTCCTGGAGTCCAACAGCCGAGGAGCCAGAAGTTGCCCAAGGACAGGGGTAGAAGAGTGTATCCCAGCACCAGCAGATGGATGAACACATTTGCCTTTTCTTTTTTTTTTTTGAGTTGGAGTCTCACTCAGTCGCCCAGACTGGAGTGCAGTGGCTGCTCCCAGTCACTGCAGCCTCGACCTGCTGGGCTCCGGCAATCCTTCCACCCCAACCTTCCAAGTAGCTGGAACTACAGGTGTGCACTACCACACCCGGCTAATTTTTTATTTATTGTGGAGATGAGGTCTCGCCAAGTTGCCCAGGTGGGTCTCAAACCCACAGGCTCAGGCAATCCACTCACCTCAGCCTCCCAAAGTGCTGGGATTACAGGCTAAGCCACCGAGCCCGGCTCACATTTGCCTTTTCTATGTTTTTGTTTTCTCTGGACCTCCAGCAGTTTGGATGGTACCTGCCAAAATTGAGGCTGGATCTTTCCCACCTAGTCCACTCAGATGCATATGCTAGTCTCCTCTGAAAACACCCTCACAGACACACCCCAAAGTAATGCTTTGCCAGGTTTCTAGGTAGACCTTAACCCAGTAAAGTTGACACCTAAAATTAACCATCACAGTAGCTAATTTCTATGACTGTTAGTTTTCATTAGCCTTGACAGGTTCTCCAGAAGTGGGATTGCCTCATGTGATGCTAGATGGTGGACAGTCTTGATAATAGCCCTGACCTACTTTCTTCTAGTGCATCCACTCTGGGAGAGTGTGGACCTGGTTCCAGGAGGTGATCGACAGTCGCCTATCAACATCCGGTGGCGGGACAGTGTTTATGATCCTGACTTAAAACCACTCACCATCTCTTATGACCCAACCACCTGCCTCCATATCTGGAATAATGGGTATTCTTTCCTTGTGGAATTTGAAGATTCTACGGATAAATCAGGTGAGAGCAAGATCTGGTGGTCTTGTCTGGAGTTAAAGGAACAGTGTCGTATCAACACTAGACACCTCAAACTCCCTCCCTAATAGTATTGACCTCTTGGTTAGCAGTGGCATGGAACTCATTGATTTTACTTTTTTTTTTTTTTTGAGTTGGAGTCTCATTCAACCTCCTGGGCTCAGGCGTTCCCTCCACCTCAGCATCCCAAGTAGCTGGGACTACAGGTACATGCCACCATGCCTGGCTAATTTTCTTAGTTTTTATTTTTTTGTATAGACAAGGTTTTGCTATGTTGCCCAGGCTGGTCTCGAACTCCTGGGCTCAGGCAGTCCACCCACCTGGGCCTCTCAAATTCCTGGAATTACAAATGTGAGCCACTGTGCCCAGTCTGATTTTACTTTTGAATGTATGAAAAAGTTCCTTCTAGTTTTTATGCATATTTTTTCAAATAGTATATGTAGTATTTTTTATTAATAAATGCATATATCTCTATGTATAGATTCTCTAATTGGTATAGAAGATAAGATATAAAATTGAAGTTTTGCCAAAAATTTATTTTGCATGTGTATATTGAATATGCACTAATTTGTCCTCTGATTGCTGACTATATAAGAACTTTTATATTAAATAGTCATACTGTTTAATCAAATTTAATTTACCAGACTTCAGTACACTTGAATTGGGGCAAAAAGATATTCATGTGTGCATTAGGTTACAACGACTAGTCCTATATTAGAGAAATTGAAATTTATGTTGTAGTAATTTTGTTATAGAAATAATGTTACCTACCTAGTTTAAAAGAAACACTATTTATTTATTTATTTTATTTATTTTGAGTTGGAGTCTCACTCTGTCACCTAGACTGGAGTGCAGTGGCACGCTCCCGGCCACCGCAGCCTTGACCTGCTGGGCTCCGGCGATCCTTCCGCCTCAGCCTTCCAAGTAGCTGGAACTACAGGCGTGTGCTACCACGCCCGGCTAATTTTTTATCTATTGTAGAAATGAGGTCTCGCCAAGTTGCCGGGGAGTGTCTCAAACCCGCAGGCTCAGGCAATCCACTCACCTCGGCCTCCCAAAGCTCGGGAATTACAAGTTGAGCCACCAAGCCCGGCCTTATTTTTTTATTTTATTTTTTATTTTTGAGTTAGGGTCTCACTCTGTCACCTAGGCTGGAGTGCCGTGGCACAGTCACGGCTCACCTCAGCCTTCCGAGTAGGTGGGACTACAGGTATGTTCCACCATGCCCAGCTCCTGGACTTAAGCAGTCCCCCTACCTTGGCCTCCCAAAGCACTGGGATTACAGGCATGAGCCACTACGCCTGGCCTCTTATTTTATTTTAGATTCAAGGAGTACATGTGCAGGTTTTTTACATGGGTATATTGTGTGGTGGTGAGGTTTGGGCTTCTATTGAGCCTGTCACCCAAGTGGTGAGCGTGGTACCCAATGGGTGGTTTTTCAACCCTTGTCCCCCTCCTTCTATTTCCCCTTTGGGAGTAAGAAACACAATATTGCTTTTGAGTCTTCTTGTTTTTTAACCTTCCTGGAATGATTTCAAAGTTTACCTGAAACTTTGAGTGTCTGTGGAACATACAGTGTGATGTATTCTATACAGGTTCCTCTTTTTCCTATTTTTTTAAACTAAATTTGATAGTATCAGATAGTCCTAATGCATCTGAAATAATTATTATTTGAAATGATGTATCTAAAGGAGTTCTCAGCCAGTGGCAATTTTGCCGTCTGTCTCCACATCTCCCCCAGCCCTGCAGGTACTTGGGGACATTTGGCAACATCTAAAGGTATTTTAGTTGGTCCCACCTGGGGGGAGTGAGACTGGCATCTAGTGGGTCAGTCAGGTATGCTGCTAAAGATCCTACAGAACAGCATTAACAAGAGTTATCTAGCCTCAAAGGTCAATAGAGCCGAGCTTGAACAATCTTGATCTAAAGGAAACTTGCTTTTTCTCATGAATATGAGGAATATGTTCATAAAAAAGGATAAAAAAGTAAAAAGTATAACTTAAAGTATAAATGTAAATGTTGACTTCTACATTTATTCTGGCTCTGGGATTCTCAACTGTGTCTTTGTTTTCTTTGCATTCTCCTAGTGGTGCTCTGATACTTAGACGTGGCCCTCTGGCCTAACTGCAAACAAATTGATCCTATGATGGACTTAATGTGTCTCTGGTTCTCTTCCCTCTGACATACTTCTCCACTGTGATTCAGAAAGTATTTGAGTCTGTCCTTAAGGGTTTAGGTGTCTCCATGTCTCCCATTTCCCTCTTTTTCCTCTATAATATGACAAAGCCCCAAACCCCTGAGCATCTTACATATCTCAAGTCAAGAAGGAATTGCTTCCCCCCCAGATTCATGGACATTTTTTTTTGCATAAAGTTATTTATTCAAATTTTGTATCTTTGAATTCACAGGATAATGTGTTTCATTATATTGTTTCAAATTCACGTAACGTAATAGAACATAAAGTAAAACCTTGTACCACATAAAACCATCTCACATGGCCATCAGCAGTATATGCACCATGCTTTGTTTAAGGCCCTCTGGGTCTGCTGGTGGAATAGCTAGAGAAGGAAATAATTAAAAAGATAGGAAATAAAAATTATAGCCGGGCTCGGTGGCTCTGCCTATAATCCCACGCCTTGGGAGGCTGAGGTGAGTGGATTGCCTGAGCCCGCAGGTTCAAGACCTGCCTGGGCAATTTGGCGAGACCTCATCTCTACAATAAATCAAAAAATTAGCCAGGCGTGGTAGTGTGCATTCGTAGTTCCAGCTACTCGGAAGGCTGAGGCGGAAGGATCACCGGAGCCCAGCAGGTCGAGGCTGCGGTGGCCGAAAGCGGCCACTGCACTACAGTCTGGGCGACAGAGTGAGACTCCAACTCAAAAAAAAAAAGAAAGAAAAATTATATATATATATATATATATATATATATATATATATATTTAGGGGGTACAAGTGCAGTTTTTTTACGTGAATATTTGCATGGTGTTAAAGCCTGGGCTTTTAGCGTACCCATCATCATAGGTATTTTTCTTAATTTCCCCAAAACTCTAGCCTGTGCCCCATCTCAATAGGAAGCCCATAATATTACATTGTATATAAAGATTCCATAAATCTTCAAAACAACAAGCTAAATTCCTGTGTTCCAGATGACTTTCTGGCACTCTGGTGAGTTCTACTTGTCCCCCAGAGCAAAAATAATGGGCAGACTGAGTCTATAGGTCACCAACTCTCATCCCTTCACACTGGATAGCATAGCAGTCCTTTCATGTCTCAATGCCATCTAGGTCCCTGGCAACCTTCTTTCTTCTGAGGATCCCAGGTATCAATCAGCTTTTTTAAAACCCTTGACAATTTAGGTTCTGTCTTTTGCCAATATATCATTGCTTCATTGAGTTAGAAGTCCTAGAAAGTTGCTTAGTGAGTTTCTTAACCAAGTAAGTTAAGCCCAAGAGTTTTCTTGGCAAATAGCTGTTTGTTTTATTTAATTATTCATTTATTTATTTATTTATCTTCTCTTTTTCTTTGAACAATAGATTCAAGAATTCTTTTTTTTTTTTTGAGTTGGAGCCTCACTCCGTCATCCAGACTGGAGTGCAGTGGCTGCTCCCGGCCACCGCAGCCTCGACCTGCTGGGCTCCGGGATCCTTCTGCCTCAGCCTTCCAAGTAGCCGGAACTACAGGTGCATGCTACCATGCCCAGCTAATTTTTTTTTTATTTATTGTAGAGACGAGGTTTCGCCAAGTTGCCCGGGTGAGTCTTGAACCCGCGGGCTCAGGCAATCCACTCGCCTCGGCCTCCCAAAGTGCTGGGATTACAGGCTGAGACACCGAGCCCAGCCTAGATTCAAGAATTCTTATCCACTCATTGCACGGGTAATTTCTCAGTGGAAACAGCTCACTTTTTTTTTTTGAGTTGGGGTGCAGTGGCACCCATGCTCATGGCCACCCCAGCGTTGACCTTCTGGGCTCCAGCGATCCTTCCGAGTAGCTAGAACTACAGACGTGCACTACCATGCCCGGCTATTTTTTATTTTATTGTAGAGACGAGATCTCACTAAGTTGGCTAAGCGGGTTTAGGCAATCCACTTGCCTCGGCCTCCCAAAATGCTGGGATTACAGGCTGAGCCACCGAGCCCGGCCCACATTTTTTAAAAATAGTAATAGCTGTTTAGATACCTACAAACCCAACTGACTAAATCATCCCTTGATTCTATCTTCCTTAGGTGAGTCAGTCTTCCACTGTTTTTACAAAATATGCAAGAAAAATTGCAGAGAAGTGACTAATTTTCCACTTGTTTGAGAACTAAAACCGATAGTTCCTTTTAATTTTGCTTTGATAATTATTTGAGATACCATCAGTCTTTAATAAGTACCTAACTTTCTTTCTCTCTCTTTTTTTCTACTTCAGTGACTACCTTTTATTTCCTGCTTGTTCTTCATTGGTATTTCTCCAGGCTGTTGCAAAACAATCGATAGCATTCAAAGGAAAAAATAAGAGGGAGTGAACATTAAAAATAAAGGCAAAATAAAAGAAAGCAAAGACATCCTAGAAATGAAGAAAGGTAAAAAAATTCTAGAAAAGTAAAGATCTGATAAATATCAATGGCTGTAAATTTCAAAATTAAAAAAAATACTAAAAAATGCTACTATAGAGCGCTTTATAAAGATTGAAATAGAGTGCAAGGTAAAAGACCTAAGGAAGACGTGACAAAAATATCAGACCACACCTTATGGGATTCAGCTAACGCAGTGTTTAGAAGGAAGTTTATGGATGAAAACGCCTGTAATAGAGAAGAACTTTCTCAAGTCAATAACCTAGTTTTCCATCTTTAGAAACTAGAAAGAGAAGAGCAAACTGAACCCAAAGCAAGCAGAAAGAAGGACATGATAAAGAACAAAGTAGAAACCAATGAAATCAAAAGTTGGTCCTTTGGGAAGATCAACAAAGTTGACAAACCTTTAGTTAGGGGGACCAAGAAAAAAAAAGAGAAAAGACTCAAATTACAAACATCTGGACTGAAAGAGGGAACAACACAGCCTACCTTACAGAAATCAATAGGATTATAAGAGAAGATATGTGAGCATCTCATACCAGTTCTCTGCTGGGTATTGTTTTGTTACTTGGTTTCCCCGAGTAAGACAGAGTTACTGATTTTAGTGAGTGTAAGTGAAAGATACAAAATATTGTGGGAAAGGGCACAGCCCTAGGCCAACAGGAATGATCCCTGAAAATTACCACCTCCTCTGGAATTCCTCTTGTTGACAATGTCAATAGACATCAAGGAGGAAAAGCAAGTGGTGAGTCCCTTTGTTCCCCTCCTCAGAATGCTTCCCGCCTCATCCCTCTCCACTTCACACTACTACAGGGAACCTAGTAAGAGTGCTTTCACAAATGCTGGAAGTTCTCCTTCCCTATATTTGGTCCCACATTAACTGTTATTAAAAATTTAGGCCAGGTGTGGTGGCTCACACCTATAATTCCAGCACTTTGGGAGGCCAAGGTGAGAGGACTGCCTGAGCCCACGGGTTCAAGACTAGCCTGAGCAACTTGGCGAGACCTCATCTCTACAGTAAATCAAAAAATTAGCCAGGTGTGGTAGCGTGTTCCTGTGGTCCCAGCTACTTGGAAGGCTGAGACAGAAGGATCACCTGAGCCCAGCAGGTTGAGGCTGCGGTAGCCATGAGCATGCCGCCACACTCCAGCCTGGGCACAGAGACTCCGACTCAAAAAAAAAAAAAAAAAAAATTAATGATTTGTAGGAAATCTACAGTGTTGTGCAACCATCACTATAATCCAATTTCCATTACCCCAAAACCCTCCTCGTGCACATTTCCTGCACTTACTTGTATTTGTGTGAGTTCTGTGTACTAACCCTTCTCTTCCTCATCCCTTTCTCTGCCAGCTCCTTCACTTCCACACTGAAAAGCAAAAGAAGGGAGTGAATATTACAGAGGTAGCTTACTTTGAGCCAGACTCTATGCTAGATGTTTTATGTTTGTTATCTGATTTTTTTACAAGTTTAATCCTTTCTCAGAGCACAGAAAGAACAAAATATCAATAACTTCAAATCCATAAGTATATATTTGTTTGCTATGTCTTATGACTCCTGTGCTCTCAAATTGAAATTCGCTGTCTTCTGTCTCCCTTCTTTGCCCCATTTCTTGATGACTGTACTTCCTTCTTTCCTCTATTTGTCTGCCCCGCCCAACTCTATTCTTTTCCTTTAATCTTGCTGAGGTCACCAGTGGCATCCCAGTTAACTGACCTGACAGCCACTTGACAGTCTATTTCTTTCATCCTGGTTTCATTTGCATCTACTAAGTGCCAGGCACTGTTCCAGGTGCTCAGAATAGAAAGAGGAAGAAGGGATAGTCTCTGCCTTTAAGGAGCTTACTAATAGTGTGGTGGGGAGACCAACCCTAAGTACATACTCTAAACCATATTAGACAGTAGAATACTACCCCCATCTCGCCTCTCCTCTATGTATGATTTATATAGGTATGGTGCCCAGCACATGATAGAGACTCAATGATTTTTCTAGCTAGCAAGTGCCCGAGTCAAATTCCTGAACCTCTAACTTCTTCTCTCTCAGGGGTACAGATGTAGGTGAACCTGCAGGCCAGGGAACCTTTGAAGGAAATGGCAGCAATAATAATGGTGAAGAACTGATGGGCCTATCTGAAGGGGGAGGCCATTTCTCCCACCCAACCTGTTGTTGCATAGGGCGATTGTGTGCCCATCTTGGCCAGGGTGTTTCATTATCACAAGTTAAGTTGGAAATGTGGATTTTTATATGAAAGTGTCCAGCTTTAAATGTTGGTGACTAACTTAAAAATATATTTAGTACTATGTGAATCAACGCTGTGTGGGCGAATCAGAACACACCTGAAGACCAGTTTTGTCCCCGCCTTCTCTTTCAGCCACCTGATGGTGACATCTCCTCTCTGTCCTGCTCATCATCTTTGGAGGAGACACACAGTAAGGGTCCAGGAAACGTTGCCAGTGTTGTTCTAGGGATAGGAAAGAAAAATCTGGCTTTTGTCTCTGCTCTGGGCCCTTGAAATAAGAATTTCACCTTCATTCAACAAATTGGATTCAATATTTATGAAACTTATGCTCATGATCTGGAGCTGGCATAGAAAAATAAGATGTTTGGGAAACTTTATTTTTATTTTGGCACACATAAGCACCATCCTCTCATTTACTTAGTAAATCATGTGATATTATTCTGTGTATCCCCCTGCCCCCCAAAATAAAAATGTCGTGTCTTCACTTACTTCTTACAAAACTTTTTTTGGGGGGGGGGTAGGAAATTATGTGAGGATTTTTCAAAAACTGGTAAGATACATTGCAAACCATTGCATGACATATTTGGTCCTCGGGATAATTGTACTTGATCATTTGAGTACATAAAACTCAACTAATGTACTAAACTCTAAAGATATGATGATGAATGGAATGGATGGTTTTAGTGTTACTTTATTGGTTTGACCATGTATAGACTTCTCCAGGGTCTGATCAGATGGAAGAAATGAATCAATAAGCATTAGCAAATTCAAAAAAACTAAATCAACATAACCCAAAACTCGAGGAAGAGTGACTTTAAAAACTTGTCTTGCTGGGTGTGGTGGCTCACGCCTACAATCCCAGCACTTTGGAAGGCGGAGGCGAAAAGATTGCCTGAGTCCAGTGGTTCGAGACCAGTCTGGGCAACTTGGCAAGACCTTGTCTGTACAATAAATTTTAAAAATTAGTCAGGTGTGGTGGTACATGTCTGTTGTTCCAGTTACTTGGGAGGCCAAGGTGGAAGGATCACCTGAACCCAGCAGTTCGAGGCAGTGGTGGCCGTGAGTGTGCCACTGCACTCCAGCCTGGGTAACAGAGTAAGACTTGGAATCAAAAAAATAAAAAAATAAAAATGAAATAAAATCTTATCTGAATATTTTTCCTATAATGTATTGATTTCACTAATTCCAGAAAAGTCTTGTCTAAACAAAAGGTACTTATTATTATCCATAGAGCAAGGCCATTGGTAAAGTGTGTAGATGCCTCATATTGTTAACTCTGTCCAAAGGGAGATGGGTGATACTTTTTTTAATTGACAATAATTGTATGTTTATGGGGTACAATGCGAGTTTTGATATACATATATACATTGTAGAATGATTATATTAAACAATATATTCATCATCTCACATACTTATCTCTTTTTTTGTAGTAAGAGCATTTAATTTATATTTATTTTTCTGGAGATGGAGTCTTGTTCTCTTGCCCAGGCTGGAGTTCAGTGGAGCAATCTGTAGCCTTGAACTCCTGGGCTCAAGTGATCTTCCTGCCTTAGCCTCCTAAGTAGCTAAGATTACAGACATGAGCCACCATGGCTGGCCCCTACAGTGAGAACATTTAAATTTTGCTCTTTTAGCAATTTTGAAATATGCACTACATTATTATTAACTATGGTCACCATGCTGTGCAATAAATTTTTGAAAACTTATTCCTCTTGTCTACCTGAAACTTTGTAACCTTTGGCCAACATCTCCCAAGTGATAATTTTTGACTTGCAAGTTTCCTATACCATTTAAGTAAAAGGGAAAGAAATACTAGTATCTTAAAAAATTTAAAAGCAGCATGTCAGTGTTTAAGAAAGAATCGTTTTCCCCATAGTTCAGTGTTATGAGATCAGGTTGGATAAATTGCTGAGAGAAATTTGTGTTTTATTGCACCCAAAAGAAAACTGGACACAATAAATACAGAATATAAAAACAAGTTGAGAATTGGCCTTTCACAATTGTATGTAATTTGGTATGTGGCTAAATCTTGATTTCGTTGGTCTTGCCCTTTGATGTGCATTGACTGCATGGAAATCAAATTTATAAACACTTGTGTATAAGACAGTACTCCATTTAAGATAGTTCACATAGAGAGCTCATCGCAGATTTGACCTTCACTCTCATTCCCTCACAGCATAAATAATCGTCCCCTGAATTGTTGGATGTGTCATTTCAGTGATCAAGGGAGGACCCCTGGAACACACCTACCGATTGAAGCAGTTTCATTTTCACTGGGGGGCCATTGATGCCTGGGGCTCCGAGCACACCGTGGACAGCAAATGCTACCCAGCAGAGGTATGTTGAGAAGGTCAGGTACAGTGACAGCTGCAGAGAAGTGGGGATAATTCTGTGCTTCTGGTTGCAAGAAATTATCAGAAATAAGAAATAATTAGGTGATTCCTATAAATACTGAATAGCTTTCTCTGGGGCATATCTGATCATTCTTAGCTTAGACATGTCAAAATAATAACTTCCCTCATCTCAAATAATATAGCTGAAATGAACCTTAAGATTCTGAAACCGAATTATTCCAAAATACTCAGGTGGGCTCAAATGATAGCCTAAAGTAATAACCCAGGCAACAATACACAGCCACAGGTTGTATTAACCCAAGTGAGAGATGGCGAGAGCCTAAATGGAGGCTGTGGCAATAGAAATGGAGAAAAAGAACAAGATTCATAAAGCGTTTCTGATATTAAAACAACAGGTTGAGGTGGGTCCTCTTCAGGAGAGCAGAAGACGAAGTTAACCATGACCTTGAGGTATCTCACTTGGGAGGCTGGGTGATGATTCATTTATGAGTGATGGATGAGGCTGGGTGATGATTCATTTATGAGTGATGAGGAAGGATGTGTATGGAAATACAGGAAGATCAGAAGGAAACAATTTCTTCTTACAACTTTTTTCCTAATTTAGTTTTAAATGTTATGTTAAAAATAAAAGCGTTGGCTGGGCGTGGTGGCTCACATCTGTAATCCCAGCACTTTGGGAGACTGAGGCAGGAGAATTGCTTGAGCCCAGGAGTTTGAGACCAGCCTGGACAACATAGTAAGACCTCGTCTCTACAAAAAATACAAAAACTAGCTGGGCGTGGTGGTGTGTGCCTGTAGTCCCAGCTACTTAGGAGTCAGAGGCAGGAGAATCACTTGTACCCAGGAGGTTGAGGCTGCAATGAGCCATGATTGTGTCACTGCACTCCATCCTGGACAACAGAGTGAGACCCTATTTCTAAATGAATAAATAAATAGATAGAGGCCGGGCTTGGTGGCTCAGCCTGTAATCCCGTGCTTTGGGAAGCCGAGGTGAGTGAATTGCCTGAGCCCGTGAGTTTAAGACGCGCCCGGCCAACTTGGCGAGACCTCATCTCTACAATAAATAAAAAATTAGCCAGGCATGGTAGTGCGCCTGTAGTTCCAGCTACCTGGAAGGCTGAGGCGGAAGGATCGCTGGAGCCCAGCGGGTCGAGGCTGCGGCGGTCGGGAGCGTGCCACGGCACTCCAGTCTGGGCGACAAAGTGAGACTACAACTCAAAAAAAACAAAAAATAAAAAAATAAAATAGATAAATTAATAAATAAAAATAAAAGTGTTTATTCCTCAAAGAAGAAATTTGTCTTTAATATCGGCCTAATTTTCACTGAGAGAATCTATTTCTCCCAACATAAGTATCTCTCCTTTAGACGCTACTGGATTTTGAATTTTAGTACTTCATGCAAATCAGGATGGGAATGGACAAATGTTGATCCCTCTCTGAAATGTCACTTTGCTATATGAATTTTATTTTTCTACCCAAGTAAGTCCTTCAATTCCAAAGTAATATTAGTTGTTGCTTGTGCCTAAATTTCTTCCTGTTCTTTATTTCTATCTCATTTTATGCCAGATTGTCATATGCTTTTCTCAGTAGCTTTATTTGGGGCAAGCAAATGTGTTTCAATGTAATATGTTGATGAGGCTGATGTTTTATTTTGGAGTTGTCTTATGCAGACCTGTGTTAACTCTCTTTTAATGGTTTTCAGCTGCACTTGGTGCACTGGAATGCAGTCAAATATGAAAACTTTGAGGATGCAGCACTGGAAGAAAATGGTTTGGCTGTGATAGGAGTATTTTTAAAGGTAAAAAATCTCATCAACTTTAAAAGATGTGTTATATACATTACAGTATCGTTATTTACTTTCAGAATAGTGATATCAACACATTGGTAAGATAAACAATGCTTGAAATACAGAATTTTTTTAAATTTTATTTTGAAGATATGGAGTACAATTCAGGATTACGTACATAAGTGGTCATCATACAGGTGAAGTTTGGGCCTCTCTTTGGTCCCCACTTCACCTGGTTTAGGATCAGTACCCTTATTGATGTTATGTGCCCCCTACTGTCAGTTTCTGGCTACTGCCAATCCCTTTCTTTTTTTTCTTTTTTTGAGTTGGAGTCTCACTCTGTCGCCCAGACTGAAGTGCAGTGGCTGCTCCCGGCCA